TTTGGCTCAGTGGATGGAGTGTCGGCCTGCGGACTGAAGGGTCCCAGGTTCGATTCCGGTCTAGGGCATGTGCCTGGGTTGTGGGCACATTCCCAGTGGGAGATGTGCAGGAGGCAGCTGGTCGATGTTTCTCTCTCATCGATGTTTCTAACTCTCTATCTCTCTCCCTTTCTCTCTGTAAAATATCAATAAAATATATTTAAAAAAATAATAATAAGTGGATGTGTTTCTTATGTACTTTTTAGAATGTTTAAATTGCATTTTTATATTGAGTGGTTAATTTTTTTAATAAGTGAGAAATTTCAAAGAAAAAGCGTATGGTCACAAATTTAAGTATTTACACGCAAGGCCCCTAAATAATAGACTTTAAAATTTATTACTATAAATTAAATTTCATGGTTCTCTTTCATCATTCTCATTCATAGGACTTGTAATATCATTTTTGTCCAAAGTGGTTCAGAAAAAGGATAAGCCAGAGAAAAATAATTTAAGGATTCAGTATACATTCTGGTTTTGTTAGAGGCAATTTCTGAAATACCTGAAAGTTTTTGAAGTGATGTCTAAGCTATAATTCTAACATGAAACTGACAATAAATCTATAAATTTTCTGATCTCTGATTATAAAAGCAGTGACAAATAAAGCATTCAGTACATAAACACTTTAAAGCTATTTATTAACTATTTCCCTCTACTTGGTATCGTCATCATCACTGTTTGAACTATCAGTGTCATCATAAATAGAAGTGTTTCTTATTGAAGATACCATCACATCTATAATGCCTTTTTTTGGGTTTTCTTCCAAATCAGTCTGTATTGCTCCAACTTCTGCTAACTTCCATTCAAGTTCTGCAATAATAACCCATCATTAAATTAGATTAAAATCTTAGAAAAATGAAAAGAAGAATTTCTCATCTATATGAAAAGAGTTGATTCTAATAAAATTAATGTGAAAAGGGTATATTTTTACTGCAAAATACATATTTTAATTCAAAATGAATTGACAGTAATGCACCATAAATTCTTATTTTGACACTCACCAAAATAGTCACCTGAAAAACCCGCTTTTTGTGACAAAGTACAGAAGGCTTGGTCACATTTAAATCACTGAGAACTAGAGAGAAATACTATTGGAAAGGGTATATTTAAAACTGGATGACAATGAAAGCACTACAGTATCAAAATATGCATTGGATAGAGCAAAATTATACTTAAAGGGAGAAATTTTGGTTAAAATTTTTATTTTAAAATGATTGAAAATAAGTTGTTTGAAAGTTCAAATCAAGAAACTAAAAAAGAACAATAAAGTAAACCCAAGAAAATCAGAAAGAGGGATATACAGAAAGAAAACACTCAACAAAGTAGGAAAACAAAGTAAGTAGAGGTGACCAACAAAATAAAAGGCTGGTGGCTTGAAAAGACTAATAGACACACCTCCCACAAAAATGGTGATAAGAAAAGGGGAGAAAAAACCAATAATACTAAGAATTGACATGGGACATAACCAAAGTAAAGATTTTAAAGCTCTGAGACTACTTATGAAAACACTAATGCCAATATATTTGAAAACTTTAATGAGAAAATTTCAACAAAAAATATGAAATACCAAAATATATCCAAGAGAAAAACTGAAAAGAATTGACTTGATAACCCTAAATTCCTCCATTCCTACAAATTCACCATTTTGTAAATTTTATTCCTAAGCACTGAGTAGATGAACAGAATATGAGGAAAATTACAAAATATATTACATTACAATATATAATATATACACATATTATGTTTATGAGGAAAATTATAAAAGACCTAAATAAGTGACAAGAGATATCTCATTCGTGGATAGAAATATCCACTGTAATTAGGATATGAAGTCTCTAACAATTACTCTAATAAATAATCAACAGGATTTTTCACAGAACTTGACTGATTCTAACATTTATATGAAATTTTGAAAAAGACTTGGCCTACTAGAGACAACTAGATTGTTATAAAGCTAAGACCATGCTATATTGATTCAGAGATAAGCAAATAGTAGAGATGTCAGAAACAAACTAAAGTATTTTTGAACCATAAAAAATAATATAGGAAACATTTAAAATCAGTAGGGAAAATACTTCACACACATTAAGACGGCCACAATAAAAACAAACAAACAAACAAAACAGAAAATAACAAGTGTTGGTAAGAATGTGGGACACTGGAATTCTTATACATTGTTGGTGGGAGTATAAAATGGTGCAGTTAGTATGGAAAACAGTATTCTGTTGGTCAAAAAATTGTAACAGAATTACCATATGACTCAGCAATTCTACTTCCAAGTATATACCCAAAAGAATTGAAAACAGGGACTTGAACTGATTATTTGTACGTGTTCATAGCAGCAGCATTCTCAATAACCAAAAGATAAAGGCAACTCAAGTGTCCATCAACAGATAAATGGGTAAGCAAAATATGGCATAAAAATACAACAGAGTATTAAGCAGCCTTAAATAGGAAGGAAATTCTGATACATGCTACAACATGGATGAACATTGAGGACATTATGCTATGTGAAATAAGTTAATCACAAAAGAACAAATTCTGTATGATGTACTTAAACAATGTACTGAGAGTAGTCAAATTCAGAGTCAGGAAGTAGAATGGTAGTGGCCAGGGGCTACAGGGAGAGGGGAGTGGGAGTTATTGTTTAATTGGTATAGAGTCTCAGTTATGCAAGATCAAAGTATTCTAGAGATGGATAATGGTGGTGGTAGCACGATAATGTGAATGCACATAATGCCACTGAACTCTATACTTGAAAATGGTCAAATAACTTATTTATTTACAAAATAAAGTCCTGGATATATAATGTATATCATGGTAACTGTAGTTAATAGTACTGCATTATGTATTTAAAAATGTTTAAGATGGTAAATTTCAAATTATGTATATTTTATGACAATTTAAAAATATTTTTAAATATTTTTATTGATTTCAGAGAGGAAGGGAGAGAGAGAAAGAGATAGAAACATCAATGATGAGAGAGAATCATTGATTGGCTGCCTCCTGCATGTCCCCTACTGGGGATCAAGCCTGCAACCCAGGCATGTGCCCTTGACTGGAATCGAACCAGGGACCCTTCAGTCAGCAGGCTGACGCTCTATCCACTGAGTCAAACCAGCTAGGGCTAAAAATATTTTTAATATATTAGTAAAAAAGCCTGGACCAGATAACATATTATTCATGATAGTGATTGTCTCTAGGGAAGAAAGGAGGGGATGGTACTAGGAATGGAAATATAGGTAATTTCAACTATATCTGTAAAGTTTATTTCAGCAATTTAACGAAACAGCTGAAGCAAACATGAACAAACATTCACATTTGTTATTTTTGGTAATTACATGAATGAGTGCTATATCATTGTTTTTCCTATTATTTTTTTAAAATATTAAATAAAGGAATGAGGTCCAAGCTGAAAAAAACAGAGTGATAAAACAAAGAGGGTCCTAAAGACTAGGAGAAGGAAAGGGGGTAATTCAGGAACAATTAAGGTATTGGAGGCCTCAGAAAGGCCAAAAACAGTTTTAAGGGAATGAAAGAGTGGATAAACTAGCTGTTAAAAACAACTATTCACAATGGCTTTAACACAATGGTAAGAGAAAAAGATTTGTATAACATGAAATTAATGCAGTTCCAAGTAATGACTTGATGAAGGATATGGCCTCAGAACTAAGTCAGGAAGTAAAAATCATTAAGGAAGGTAGAAATATCAAGTCCTGTGTTATGTACTATGAAAAAGAAAATAATAGGATATATGGTCCTTGTACTTATTAGGGAGACAAAATTCAAAGGGAATTAATTAACCAACAAAATCAGATAGTATGTGGATGAGTGAAAAGTTAGTTGTATAGAGAATATATGCTATAGAAATTCAATAGAGAACAGGAAGACAGATTATGAATTGGTCCAAAATCATATCATGGGATAAATGGAAAACCAGGAGGACCCACGAGGGAATAGGATTTGGAAGCAAGAATAAAGAGTAGGTTATTTGGGGCACAGGGTAAGAGTATGAAATGAAGTAAAAAGGAACAAATGAGTGTGTCTGGGGTAGTGGTTGAAGTCCAGCCTGGCTGCGCAGAAACTGGAAAGCATTGAGACATACAGTTAGATAAGTGGGCTGAAATTCTCAGGCAGAAGATTCCGAATTTTTAACTTATTTGAGACAAGGAACCAATAAGGACTTAAGGAATTGGGTGTTATGATAAGAATATTATTATAGGAAATTAATCTAGAGGAATACAAGCAGAGACTGGAAGAAAAGGAAAGCAATCTTACGGAAATAAACTTTCATGATATTTGTTAATTTAGTGAAGTTTCACCTCTTTTTTTTTCAAACAAATTTTAAAAAATAATATAATTACCTTCTAGCTTGAGATTTATTCCTCCACATTCTATAATTCCAATGAATTTGCCTTCTATCTGACCGTTTTTATAAACAAAAATCGTTGGTAAACAATTATCATGGTAGTGTTGAATACAGCTATTCACGATGGCTTTAGTAAATTTAGTTTCTGGAAACTTTCTTGCTAGAAGACTAAGATGCTGATTAACCAACAAACACATTGGTATGCTAAAAAGAGAAACAGTACATTCATGGTCTTTAAAAAACAAACTACTCATCTCAGTCTAATAAAATAAGTGAAACATCTCCATAACAAAAATACATCTTTAGATATTCTTTTAATAAGCTCATATCAGTATTGTCCTCTATTGTTACCTTCAGTCCTCTGATTTTCATTACAAACACCAAACAGCCTGGGAATAAAGCTAGCTACCATGGGAATTTGATGCCTAACTAAGGCTAACCACATCTGACTTAGCATCAGTTTAATCAAGCCAGTTCCTACTTTATATGACACTAGAGGCCCAGTGCACAGGTTCATGCATCAGTGGGGTCCCTCAGCCTGGCCTGTGCCCTCTCACAATCTGGGACCCTTCAGGGGATGTCAGACTGCTGGTTTCAGCTTGATCCCTGCAGGGATGTAGTAGCGCATAAGTGGCAGGCGGTTGGGGAGGAGCCCAAGCCCAGGCCAGGCGCCGTGCAGCTGGCCCCACTGCGCCGGCCAAAACCGCCTGGTAGTGCTGTCATGGAGGTGGGAAAGGCTTGCAGCTGTGCTCACCAGCTGTGAGCCTGGCATTTGGCGCCCGTCAGTCAGCTGAGCAGTGCTCCCGCTGTGGGAGCAACTGACCACCAGGAGGCAGCTCCTGCGTTGAGAGTCTGCCCCCTGGTAGCCAGTGCACGTCATAGTAACCCGTCAACCTGTTGTTTGGTCGTTTGGTTGCTTAGGCTTTTATATATATAGACTAGAGGCCTGGTGCACAAAAATTTGTGCACTCAGGGGGA